CCCAGTGGCGCTGCTGGGGCTGGCTGGGCGGCTGCCCTGGTTGGAGTGCTTATGTCCCTCTCTCCCTGCCTGCAGCTCGGGATGGCGCTCCATGTGTGTTCGGAGGGATGGTGTACAGGAGCGGGGAGACCTTCCAGAGCAGCTGCAAGTACCAGTGCACTTGCCTGGACGGGGCAGTGGGGTGCGTGCCTCTCTGCAGCATGGACGTGCGGCTGCCCAGCCCCGACTGCCCTTTCCCACTTGGAGTGCTTATGTCCCTCTCTCCCTGCCTGCAGCTCGGGATGGCGCTCCATGTGTGTTCGGAGGGATGGTGTACAGGAGCGGGGAGACCTTCCAGAGCAGCTGCAAGTACCAGTGCACTTGCCTGGACGGGGCAGTGGGGTGCGTGCCTCTCTGCAGCATGGACGTGCGGCTGCCCAGCCCCGACTGCCCTTTCCCACGAAGAGTTAAGCTCCCCGGGAAGTGCTGCGAGGAGTGGGTGTGCGATGAGCACCGAGAACAGACAGCTGTAGGACCGGCTCTTGCTGGTGAGTTGATATCTTAATGAATTTTGTTGGCGTGCCAGTGCGCTAGATTGAAATACCCAATGGAGTGCTGATTATCCCAATGGACCACGATTCAGCCCAAATGTGTGACTCCAGTGCCTTCAGTGGAATCACATAAATATGACACCCTATGTTTGTGCTACTCTTGTGTATTCATGCTGCACATCTGCCCTGTTGCTCTGTGCCACAGTCTTATCCTGTTGATCTGTGCTCCCCAGCTTACAGACCGGAAGACACTTATGGACCTGACCAGGCAATGATGCGTGCCAACTGCCTGGTCCAGACCACAGAATGGAGTGCTTGCTCAAAGACCTGTGGAATGGGCATCTCCACCAGAGTCACCAATGACAATGCCTTCTGCAGACTGGAAAAGCAAAGCAGACTTTGCATGGTCAGACCTTGTGAAGCAGACTTGGAGGAAAACATCAAGGTAAATATCACCTCTAATATATGCACTTCTAAGGATGTTTCAGCCTCCAACCAATTTTGCAGAAGATGTATAGCTCTAACTTATCCAGTTTCAGAACCAAATAAATATTATAAGGTCTCATCCCAGCAGTGAATATTTTAGAATAAAGCTATAAATAAAAGCACTTCCTTTAGCCATTAGATAAGTATAATAAAATATGCACACTATTTAAACTATCTTGTTTGCATATGAATCCTTCATGAGGAGCAGAGTATTAACCTCCTTGCATATAATGAGGATGAAATATGAATAGGAACTGCAATTTTTTTTAAAAAATGGCTTCTAAACTTTTCTTCTATTTGTTGCCCCACAGAAAGGCAAAAAGTGCATTCGCACCCCCAAAATCTCCAAGCCCATCAAGTTTGAGCTCTCTGGCTGTACCAGTGTGAAAACCTATCGAGCTAAATTCTGTGGGGTCTGCACTGATGGACGTTGCTGCACCCCTCACAGAACAGCCACTCTTCCTGTGGAGTTCAAATGTCCTGATGGCGAGGTCATGAAGAGAAGAATGATGTTCATCAAGACCTGTGCATGCCACTACAACTGCCCTGGAGACAATGACATCTTTGAGTCTCTGTACTACAGAAAGATGTATGGCGACATGGCATAAAGCAGGAAACACTAGGCTCTCAACTTGACCTGTTTGCATCTCATTGTGTAAACATGATTCGATAGCACAAGGTATTTAAATCTGTTTCCAAAAAGTTCAGAATGCTCCATGTGACTAAGACAAATTGTCTTCTGACCCTAAACATTGGTTTGAAGAAAGTAAAATGGCTCATGGGACCACAGCAAAGCGCAGCTTCAGAGGATGCTGTTCATGGAGTGGTGTTTAGGGGTTATTAGGGGACATGTGCAGAAAAATCAGTGTTCCCTTTGTAGGGTAATGTGTGTTCCACCTAGTAGTGCAATTGAAAAAGAGACCCTTAGCATGTTTGCTGACACTGAGTGACAGTAATGGCTGGAATGTAAATCGTTAACCCAGCAAGGTGCTAAGTAAAATGTGTTCTATTGGTCAGGACTGTAATGTTTCAGCTTTGACACTGATTCCAATGACTTGTTCAAGAAGAATCAGAATCATGTCTATTTGACTGGACAGCTTGTGACAGTTAATATGCCTGTAACAAGCTAGATTTTTATTAATATTGTAAATACTGTATATATATGTACAGTTATCTAAATTAATTTAAAGTTTTGTGCCTTTGTTAATGCTTGATACTTTAATGTTTAGCTTTTTTGTTTGTGTTGAAAGAAATAGGATGTAAAGCTTGTCTGACAATGCATTCAAAGCATGAAATAGATCCTCTAATGGAAATTGTTCAGTTAGGGTGACCAGTGAATCAAAATCAAGACAGAGTTTGTTGCTAAAGATGAGGTGCCGCCATCTTTGGAAAGCATCCATTTGTATGGTAAAAACACGATTGCCTCTGCTTTAGTGAACAAAAGGCTTTTAAGTAAAATGAATGGCTTTTTTGTAGCTGATCAGTTTTTCCACCTGGGAGCATTTGTTTCTTTCTTTGACCATGGCTGTTCGTTGAACAGTTTGTTATTTGTTGAGAAGTGTGACCAAAAGTTACATGTTTGCACCTTTTTAGTTGAAAATAAAGTATTATATTTTTTATATAAATGACTTTGAATTTCATTTGCCCGACATCTCCCTCCCTCCCCACTTCCTTCCTACATATTCATCAAAACAAGAGTTTATTTTGTGATGTATACAAATCAATGAAATCTTTTGCCCAGGGATAAATACACTGAAAATTAAACTTCATCTATATTCCAACACAAACTTGCTAGCTCATAATCACTGGTAGGTCAATGAAAATGGAGGGCCACTTCCTCTTTTCAGACTTTAAAGAGGAATCCTAGAGTGCCAAACTTAACACTTTTAAGGTACAACAGTGTCATCAATCACCAGGGCATGTAAAAACACTAAGTGGCTTTAGATGACAGCTATCTAGATTGTCATGCTTGACATCATGGTAGCTCAGAACCTATTGGATTCTTTTTTAATAGCAAAGCACCCAGGTTTCTTCTCAGCTAATTATGGGGAATATTTTAAAAACGTTATTAAATTGAAACAGCTTTTCATTGTGGGTGTCAAATTGAAGTCTTCATTTTGGTAAAACTCCCATTGAAGAACCAGTGGGATTTCTGGCTTATATGAGAACTATAATATGGTTTAATGGGACTCAGGAGACCTTGATTCTATTCCTAGTTCTATCTTTGGTCTACAGGTTGGCCTTGGGCATGTCACTTCACTGTGCCTCCATCTTCCCAATAGGTAAAATGGTAATACTGACCTCCTTGGTAACACACTCTGAGATCAACTGATGAAGGGCACTAAATATTATTAAAATGCAGGATGGGATCTTAAAACTCATCTTAGGTAAGCAAACAAAGTGAAGAGTTGAGCCATCTGTATCCCAAATACTAGCTAGGAACTTCAGCCCTCTATTAATTCCTTCATCAACATAATAGACATTTGTATACTCCCTTTATATATCCAGGTACTCTCCAAGAATTACTTTCAGAAACCAAGTCTAGCCAGCATCTCTTGGAGGACGGGGGGGATAATTAGTGCCAACTGGAAGGGGGGGGCAGGCCCACATCATACTGAGCAGCACCCTCAACTGCCCATAGATTTCAGTTGGAGCTTGGGTCAGCTTGACACTAGAGCAAGTCTGCATTCATGACAGACTAATTGGAATCTAATCTAAAGCCTGCAGAAGTCAATGGGACTCTTTTAATTGAGATCAGTTGACACTGGTTAGGGCCCCAGAAGCATTTCCCTTTCCTCTCAAAAATGTGAGGAATTCCTCTGGAATGAGGAAGTGGTTTTCTAGGCCCATTTGAATTCTGCCTCAAATAGTGCCTCAGACTCACCAGTATTTTCCTTGCAGGTTATAAATATGGTGTAGCAGCCTTCTGGTCACTCTAGAAACACTCTACATTCACATAACCAGAAAGACTGTTTTGGCAACCATTACCTCAGTCCCTCCCATCCCCCAGCAGAACTGTTCTTTCTACCTGACAAGCAAAAGCACACCTGGACTTCAGCCACAGTTAGCTGAATTAAATAGTTGAAAAGATAATATCTCACTAGGTGGAGTGATGGTAGTTTTCATTGAGAACACTAACAATGTCAAAAAGGTTCAAATTTAGGGAAATTTGATGTAAAATATTGTAAATGCATGAAACTTCCCTATGTTATTACATTGCTAATTAACACTATTGTTGCAATAGATCAGAACTGCCAAAAGGAGTGCTTATTAGTTATTTGACAAGTTTTCTCTCCTCTGAAGTATTATGTAAAAAGTAATTTCATGTGTAATTGTAATATACTAAAACCTGCAGTTCTCACTTCAAGACCAGTCAATTACTGCCATTTTGTAATGTAGCTGGGTGTAGTCACATTAATAGAGAAAATCAATATTCTGAATACATTGTTGCAGGGCCTCAACATGGGAATGTAATTAGGCATCATACTATTGTAGCACTTTCTTCTGAAGATACATACAGTTTCTGGAATCAAGAAGTGAGTATTTAAATAATATGTAATCCTAAGTGTAAAAATGGATACAAATTTAGGCCTCTCAACCTTAATATTTCCCTGCTGTCTGTCCTTATGCTTATGATTTAGAGATCAGTAAAAGCAATAAGTAACCATAACAGGAATCGTGTTCTAGGAATGTGGCAGTAAAAAGGAAATATCAGAATTTTTTAAAAAGCTGTTTCCATCTAGTTGGCTTCTTCAGAAAGCTTTACCACATGCATATATGACAGCATTTTAAAAAAAGCTTTTGTTTTATTTTATTTACATATCTTCATTCAACTTAATGTTCAGCTTACACAAATACTATAGGATTTAGAATGCCACCACATATTTGACACTGATTTAATGAACATCACTCAGGTAGCCATTAGAAGAAGCAATCTACATGGCTGCGGAGCAGAGTGTCAAATGACTTGTCAAAAAGCATGAGCTACTTTCCCCATTTCAGTATTTTGTGTCATGGGCAACCATAATTCATTTATATGATTTGCAGCTCTACATTCTAACACAATACAGATGTGAACTACAGACATGGATTACATCCCCATCATAAGAGGAAAGCATTGTTCTCCAGATGGATTTTTGTCAGATTCCTCATAACTAACAAACATCCAAAAGACATCCATTAAGAAACTCTTCAAGAATGAGCCACTTTTAATGATCTGTAACCACATAGGAACAAATACGTTTTTTTTAACATATTCCAGTTGTTTGAATCACAAAGAAAGGGAGTCAATTGAGAAAATTGACTTTTGGACACACAACTAGAAATAGCAAACAGCAGTTAGATCATTTGCATTCCTTCTTGTAGTGTAACGTTCTATACCAAACAATGTGCTTGTAAGAAAGTACTGTTAGCTGATATGCAAAAAATTAAGATCACAAAACAAGTCAAACAACAGGAATATTCCATCTCAACATGTAACTTAATCCCACTTTACTGACCGTGTACCCTACCCCTGAATCCCCCCCGCCCCGCACAAAAAAAAAAAGAGTCCAACCATTTAGGATGAAATATCAGTGCAAAGCTTCACTCCAAAACTAAGGAGTTTCTGAGAAAAGTAGTTCAGTTAACTTCTTCGGTTCCGTTTTCTACTTTCACCCCTCCCTCTATTTCCTTTAATTCATGTGTGCCCATAAATGGAAGTACCAAAAACTACATTCTTACAGTATTTTCAGTCTGACTGGAACCAGGAAATTCCAGAAATTTCTTCAGGGAACCTGTTCCCAAAGTGTACTAAAGCTCTTGACACTTTCAAAGCTTTTACAGAATTCAAGAACATGAGTAAGGTCACATCTGCATGAAGAATGAAAATTTATTGTTTCCATGTTAGAAGTTGTAATTGTAGTGTGAATTGCTCATCAGGTGAGCAGAGGCAAATTGTAGGAATTTAGGAGAGAGATTATAGGATCTGGCCCTTCACCAGCTAATTGAACTAGTCCTAACTGAAATAGATGGAAGATGCTTACCCTCATCATGCTCATCTGCATCCTGCATTGTTGCAGTTTTGTCCCTCATCAACTCTGGTATTGTTCTAAGCCAGGGGTAGGCAATTATTTTTGACCCGGGGAAACTTCAGAAATTTTTGCAGTGGCCCCAGGCTGCTCTGAAGGGGGCAGGCCTCAGGTGGAAGGGGCAGGGCCAACACACTTCCATGCTTCCCCACCCACATTCCCTGATTGGCCTGAGGGTGAGGGAGCGTGCAAAGTCTTTGCCCCTCACCCCATTCTGAACAGCTGGCAGTTCCCTCTAAGGTAACATCTGGCCGTTCCCTCTAGGCATCCGTCCCTAGCAGTGGGAAGAGACTTCACATGCTCCTCCCTTCTGCCCCTGATCAATCAGGGCCTGGGGAGGGGGAGCACGTAAAGTCTCTCGCTCCCTCCTCCCTCCCTGCAAGGGAGCACCGCGCTTAGAGTCAACCACCAGCTGAGCAGTGCTGAGCCCCTTGAAGCTTGGGAGGAGACTTCATGCAAACTCCCCACCCCGAAGCCCTGATTGGTCTGGGGGCAGGGGAAGAGCACAGAGTCTCCTCCAACCCTGAACACGCCCTACAAGGAGTATGAGGCACTTCTAAGAGCTGCATGCTCCTGGCAGAGCAGGAGGAGGAGACTTCACACTCTCCCCCCACACAAAGCCTCTTTCCACCCTGACAGGAGCGCATGGTGCTTCTAAGCACTGCACCCTCCTTGGAGGGTCGGGACAGGGCGGGAGGAGATTTCGCATGCTTCCCCCTACCCCCAGGTTCAATTGGCCTGGGGGCAGACAGAGCAGTAGGGCCTCCACAGGCCGGATCAACTGACTTGGTGGACTGGATCCAGCCCACAGAGGCCCTTTTGCCCACCCCTGTTCTAAACCATTTCAGTCACTATGCACTCTGGGTACTTCCCTCATAGTTCTCAGAATAGAGTCAGAAGCAGTGAATTCTGAAAGATTTTGAAAAGCTTCAGGTGCATAGGAAGACAGAAAGAGGAGGAATATTTAACTGTTTGCATTATTAAATCAGCAAGCTTTCTGTACTAGTACTGAAACAGTATTTAGATTTGCCTCAGTCTGATATGGTATATATGCCACTGGAAACTTGTACATAGGGATGCAAGGCATTTTTACAATCATGCTAGAAAGCCCAAAAGATTCATAACACTGTGCATTTCTCTGGAGTAGACAAGATTTTAGATTCAGTCCGCCTGCATTTATCACTCAGGCAAAACTGACTGGGTCAGGGGGAGAAATGCACTCCAAACATTTACTGGTCAGTTTAATTTAATCCTATGAATGATGTCGACGGATTTTTACTATAGGTTGAACATCTCTAGTCTGGCACCCTTGGGACCTGACTGATGCGGAAACAGAGAATTTGTGGGCAATATTGTTTAGCAGCATTACCAATACTCCACTGCTTACTGGGCTCTTAGAAGACATTTAGGGGTAAATTAGAGCTAAATAACAGCACAGATCAATGAGAGTCAAGACTAGTGACTGTAAACAAACTTTATGGGACCACCAGAAACTTGCCCACACCCATGACATCTGGACATCTGGTTAACTAAATCATGCTGGACCATGGATGTTG